TGGGAGAACTTGCACAATTGGTGGCTGACTAAATACTTTTTTGCCCCATTGTATCTGGATAGCACCAAGATGGAGAATTTTGGCCTAGTAAGTCTGAGCTTGTAGAATCCAATCTTACTTTTGAAATTGTGTACACACTTCTTATAAGGGGTGTGAAAAATGTTTCATTTTGAAACATTTCAAGCACAAATATTCCATTTCAAGTGTGAAACTGCTGTTTTTGAGCATTTTGGAGCACTTCCAGCTCAGAATACTTCCCTCAGAGCAGCTCTGTTTGGAGTTTGAAACACTTGTAAAAGGCTCAGAACAAAAGTTTTGCACTTGATTTGAAATCTTTTGCACATTTTGACACTACAAATTTTTCAAAATGAAATGTGTTGCACCCTGCTAATTTCTTATAAAACCTCAAAGAACTGCCCATGCTTAGTACTAAAATATTTGGAAGCACAAAATAGGAACAAAATCCTTTGTTCTAAGCATTTTACAGGAACACTTCAAATTAAACATGTACGTAGCCCTCAGATTTGAAGAGAGGTACCTGCATTTTGTGGTTGTATATCTGTGTGTGATTACAAACTATAAAATGAGAACTAGCTCTATTGTCTGCATTTCTTAGTAGCACTGCTCTCTTTATTTTCATATAGAAAAATAGTTCCTTTCAGTTCTCTGATCATCCCGTTACTTGAACTGCTGCATTTAAATATATATATATATATATATGCTTCTAATAGCATCTAATACTTCTAATACTTATTTATTGATTCACATTTTCAGTGCTAGCCCGGAAATCTGTAGTACAAAATGTCAGTGAATCCATCAAAGAAATCCTGAGAAATGAATTTAGGAGAATGGTAGAGCTAGAGGTAAGTGATAGACAGTTTGCTCTGTGAAGATCATTATATAAGTTAAAGACATCTTCATAGAGATAACTGATGAAGGTGGTTATAGCTTGGATATTAACTGACAACCTAATCCTAAGTGTGCGTATCTTTGTATGGTGCCATATAATATGATGGGTGTGGCCTAGTCTTCTTTGCTGATCCAG